GAAGGGGGGGGGCAAGGAAAATGAGCTGATTCCGGGAACCCAAGAGGCAAGCGAATTTTGGGAATGATGAGGGCAACAAATGTATAGATGTGCTCTACACAATTGATCTATGTATTGTGATGAATTTTATGAGCCCCAATAAATTGATTTAAAAAAAAGGGAAGAACACACTTTGCATATATCAAAGTGACAGAACTGAAGAAAATATTTTAAAAAAACCCAAAAACAATCTGTCTGCTCTGAAATGACATGTACCTGATCACATCGGCTTTCAAATCCTGGAGGACAACTGGAAACTACAGAGGGGGAGGCTACCAGGGTTTGGAGCTTCCCGTCAATGTCTGCAAGCTGCTGATGCTCTGCAGGCGCAAGCGTGTAGCCTTCTCCAGGGACCCCCCAGGCCTGCGGGTCGCCCTATAAGGAAACAAAGGGCAGCAGGTGTATCAGTCCCTGTTTACACCCACCCACCCACCTTCTCAACTGACCGCCCATTTGACAAATACCCCGAAGGGAGAGAGAACAAATGATGGAAGGCAATGACCCCCGACAATTTCCTGACCTGAAGCCCCCCCCCCCCTTAAGCCTTCAGAGAAAAGGCATCTACATCGTAGCGAGACAGAGCAAACCGTTTTGAAAGACGTAGATATATTCTCACAAAATGTGTGAGGGCTGAAAATAAAAAGGAAATGCGACTGGCTTCCAGAAAGCAACAAATCTGTATCTGGAAGGGATATGCAAACACTCAATAATGAACCCGCATACCATCATTTGTTGGGGTGGGGTCCCCTGACTGCTCTCTGGATTGGGAGGGGACCCCCAGGGGCACTCCTGCCAGCCCCTGACATGTGGCAGCACCAGGCCCAGCTAGCCCACCCCATTGGGCGGGTTCCACTCACTCGCCCCTCTCTGCCATCAAGGTGATTGAGTCCAATGGATAGCAGCCCTCGGAGGCAGGCTTATGAAGGAGTTACTACCTCTGATGTGTAGGTCAGAGTATCTTATTTGCCCACACAACTTTTAAAATCAAATTTATTGTCAACATGTAAAAAATTGGAACATTTCACTTAAAAATCTGGATGTCAAGCTTCTCTTGAAGGTTGGAAACCCTGGGCAACCCAGGACGGGGCTTTCCATATAGCAGCACCCCCGAGGGTGAGCATTTGGCTGGCAGTGCACTGGTCTACCCTCTCCCACCGGCCCCTCTCTGTCACTGTGTGTGCACGGCTTTCCAATAAAAACACTAGCCTCAGAAGCAAAGTCTGAGACGGGGCTTCTTGTTCACGTGATTTCTTGAAGGAATGCTTTGGGGTACAGGGTCTGAGGAAAGAGGTGGGGGCCGGAAACAGTCGAGTGCAGATTTGGTGTCAGCGGAAGATCTGTTTGTGAAAACACTGGGGAAGCTCCGGAGGACTATCTGCGCCTCGAGCTAATCCCACCTTGAGCTGAAGGAGCTGGGGCCTCCCGGCCTGTTTAGCTTCCATTGGGCCCAGGCCAGTTGTCCAGGGAATGGAGCATCTCTGCACCCTCACTGTATCGGCTCTTAGGAGTGAGGTGCACAGAGCTGCCAGGTAAAGGGGACCTGAGCAGGCTGTCGACAGTCTTCACTGCAGCGTGTCTCTACTAACCAACCACGAAGGCAACAGAGCTGAGAGCTTCCGAGACAAAAAGGAGCGCGTACAAAGGGGCTCCGAAAAGTTCATAACAAAATGGAATGGAAAGCTAAGGGGATTTCCCCACCAACTTTCTGAAGCCCTCTTGTATTTATTTGATGACTTAAAGAATACTCTTACAAGTTTACAATGCAAGTCAATACGAACACGGTATTGCAGGGCTGCTAACAGAACGGGCATTGGTAGGAACCCACTAACCACTGCGTGGGAGAGCCGGGTGGCAGGCTGCTTCCGGAAAGATCCACAGCTTTGGAAACACTGTTGGGTGGTTCTTTGGGAGGCGTCAGCATGGACTTGACAGCAACAGGTGCTAGGCACTCATTATGGAATCTCCCTGGGACCAACATGACACGCTGCGCCCCTCTTTCGGAGCAGTCAGGACTCCCCCATCTGGATGTCCCCGGTGAGGGGACAGGGACAGGAGGACTGAAGACTGTAGAGAAGCCAGTCCCTTCGTGCTTGGTGAAGCGGCAGGGCCGTGGTGAAAGAGGAAGACCTTCAACAAGG